CAGGGTGAAGTCGAAGCTCTGTTCTCCCTGGTCTTAGAATTCCACCGGGCTGGGTGCAGCCCACGCTCCCTCCCTCCTTCCCTCTGTTCCCGCGCTGGCTGGGCGGGTTGCTGGGCTTCCCTCTGATTTCTGATGCCAGCTGTGAAAAGCTCCAGTGCTCCGACTGCCCCAGGCCGTGCCCCTCGGAGCCGAGCAGCCTGGCCATTGAAAGCCCCGGAGGGCAGCCGTTCGGAACAGGCCAGTGGGCCGGGGAACTGCAGACCAGTTGCTTGTGTGTTTTATCATCTGCCTGGAGCCCTTCCGGGACGCTGCCTTTTCCCAGGGCCCTGGGGGGCGAGAGACCGTCCGCATTGCAATACCCCTGCCCCTGCGGGGGTTCTGGAGCAGGGTAGCCGTGCTGCCGGTTACCTCTGCAATCGCGTCGCTTTCCCAGCCTTCTGGCAAAATGCCCTACGGCCCAGCAGTAAAGTTCTGAACTTTACCCTTCCCCTTTGCCTCCACGGGGCGAGGGCTTCGGCGCCACTCCAGAGGGAGCCACGGACGTGCCAAGGCCCAGCGCGCCCATGGAGGCGGCACGCTCCCTTCTCCTGCCCACGGCCTGGCTTGCTCATGGGAGACGGGTGCGCGCCTCACCTGCTGTATGGAGTCGGGGTTGCACCGGGCTTCCAGCTGGGTGAAATTCAGCACTGGACCTCGCGAGCCGGAGAGTGGGGCGGGGTGGGCCACAATGGTGTCCCACAAACCCAGCCAAGCTGTGTCCCTGGGGCCCTGGCTGGCTCAGGGGACTCAGAGCAGGAGCCCTGGTTCGAATCCAGCCTGGGTCTGTAGGGCCTGCTCCGGCCGGGGGCTACGCTCACGGATCCTACTCTAGTGCCCATGCCCCGGAACCAGCATGAGGAGGCATGATTGGCCCCCGGCCAGTCCCTGTGAAGGGCTGCGGGCTGAAGAGAGGTTCGGCGCTGCTCCGGGCCAGGGCAGAGGTGCACGGGGGGGAAGGGTGGCCCTGGCCCATGGTCCCTGAGTTCCAAAGCTGGATTTTCCTGCCCGCACTGAGAGGAGATGGGCACCTCCCCCCACGAGTCCCCCACTCCGTCCAGGCTGCTCTGGGCACAGAGAAAACAGCGTGGGTGAGAGGGGCCCTGTAAGGCCGCCCAGCCCTTCCCTGGCAGCCGCTAGGGCGGCAGGACAAGAAAGATACCAAAGAGCTGCCCTGGCAGAGGGGGCGCGCGGAGGAACCTGGCTCTGCCACCTCCCTGTTCCTGCCCCTCTCGGGTCCTGGCCTCACTCTGTGGTGACTGTTGGCTTCACTGGTTTTATTGCGTGTCCACAGCCCCAAGGAGCCACGGACAATGGGCCCGCTGCACCGGATGCTGCACAGTGGCCCGCAGGGCAATGTGGTGGTAGGACCCAGCTCCTCTATTCTGGAAGGGGCGGGGCGGCGGGCAGGAGCCGGGGAGGAGGCCAGGAGTGAGGTCCTTGCTGCTTGGGCTGCATCCGGTGTCAGCTGGGAGGCTCTTCTGCACTGAAGACGGAGCTTCAAGTGGCAGTGGTCAAAGGATGGGCAATAGGCCAGCCTTCGGCTGCCTGCTTCCTCCAAGGAGTGGCGGGCAGGCAGATCGCTCACAGCAACAGCGCGCCTCGAGCACCCGGGCAGCCTCCCCGGGCCTGGAGGAGGGCAGCACAGAACAGCTGGGGGTCATGGCTTTTCTGCAGGTCTGACAGGAGGGAGCCTGCGCTTCTGCGGCCGGATCAGTCCATTGGAAAGGACTCGCGGTGCTGGGGCCGTGCAGCCGAGAGAAGACGCCATCAGCACCTCGCTGGACCAGCCGAGGCCTTGTCTAGACACTTGTTTTTGCACCAGCAGTGCTGCATCAAGGGCCCGCAGACCCCCAGCGCTGAGGCCCTGGCCTGGTTTCAGAAGGGACTCTTACTTATGCAGCTTGCCATGTTTCCACACCAGCATGAGGGTTTTCCCTGCTGCAGCTGCACTTGCTGAAAACTGCAAAGGCCAGGCAAGCCCTGCAGCCCGAGGCCTTGTCTAGACACTTGTTTTTGCACCAGCAGTGCTGCATCAAGGGCCCGCAGACCCCCAGCGCTGAGGCCCTGGCCTGGTTTCAGAAGGGACTCTTACTTATGCAGCTTGCCATGTTTCCACACCAGCATGAGGGTTTTCCCTGCTGCAGCTGCACTTGCTGAAAACTGCAAAGGCCAGGCAAGCCCTGCAGCCAAACTGCGGTGGAGAAAGGTAACGCAGACTGACCCCCGGTGGTCCCTAGTGCTTGCCCCGGCTCTGCCAGTGCATGTTGGGCATACGTCACTTCTCTGAATCTGGTTTAGAACAAAGGAAGTTTTTGTTCCCGCGGCATGCAGCCAACCTGTGGAACTCCTTGCCTGAGGATGTTGCGAAGACCAGAACTTTACCAGGGTTTGAAAAAGAGCTAGATAAATTCATGGAGGACAGGTCCATCAATACTTATTGGCCAGGGTGGGTAGGAATGGTGGCTCTAGCCTTGGAAGGAGTGGGTTTTGCCCACGCAAGCTCGTGATCCTACACATACACTGTTGTGAGTCTTTAAGGTGCCACAGGCCTACTTGTTGGAAATGGGCAACTGGGAAGGGATCACTTGATGGTTCCCTGTTCTGTTCACTCCCTCTGGGGCACCTGGTAGTGGCCACTGTCCGAAGACAGGCCCGGGGGCAAGATGGACCTTTGTCTGACCCAGTCTGGCCACTCGTATGGTCTGTAAAGAGAGCAGGACTCACCTGCCTCGGGACTGCTGCAAGGATGGGCCCCATGCCATCCGCAAAGCACTCTGAGGTGGGGATGTACCATGGCAAATGGTTACCCAGGAAGCATTAACCCACCTGGACCATTAAGCCCCTGCATGCTGGCCCTTCTCCTGAGTCCGTTAACCGGTTCACCAATGCCATGTTAATCCTGAGACACAACTGGGGATCTGCAGTTTCACACGATGCAGGAGTCCTTTCCACTTTGTCCTTTGTTATTGTTGAGCTAAGCTGCTGTCGTGTTCCAGCCCAGAGCTGGCTGCATTTCTGGGGTGGATTCAGAAGCTCGGGACCTGGGTGTAAAGCACTTTGGATTCAAGAGGCTCAGGACAGGGCCGTAGTTATTGCTGATGGTTCTCTCTGAACCCCACTTGGATTTTAGAGGGGCTGGGGGGGGATCAATGGAGTCCAGCTGCCCGCGCACATTTCGGAGGATGCTTTCAGGGGTTGGTGTAACGCCCGGTGGCCGCATTCGAGCGGGGCTCTCGGCCACTTGCTCCCCCGCTGGTCCGAGCTCAAGAGGCTCAGGACAGGGCCGTAGTTATTGCTGATGGTTCTCTCTGAACCCCACTTGGATTTTAGAGGGGCTGGGGGGGGATCAATGGAGTCCAGCTGCCCGCGCACATTTCGGAGGATGCTTTCAGGGGTTGGTGTAACGCCCGGTGGCCGCATTCGAGCGGGGCTCTCGGCCACTTGCTCCCCCGCTGGTCCGAGCGGGGCGCG